CACTGTTTGTTTCAAGCAGAAGGAAAGCAGAAATACAGGTCACCATACATATAACTGTGCAGTTGAATAAAGCAAAAAAGAGACCTTTTCAGGAAATAACTTCTTAACATTACCTTTCAGGCCTCAAAAAGTAATATGGCATGGTTCAACTGCAAATGGGATCCGACTGGTTAGCAACTACTGTGAAGCCTGGCACACAGCTGATATGGGAGCTATGGGACAAGCATCACCGCTGAAGACGGGGAAACTTCTTGATCAGAAAGTATTTAGCTGCAGTAATCAGTTTATCGTTCTCTGTATTGAAAACAGTTTTGTATCTGATCCCCAAGGAAAATAATTCACCTGATGCACATAGGAATATTCCATTTTATGATAGAAAAAGCTGACACTGAAATTTCATTTGTAATGTTGTAAATATTTTATTTTTCCTAATTGCACATTTCAGGAAAAAATAGCCAAAGAAAACATACCTCAACACAAACTGCATTCCATTGAGGTGGAACATCCAGTGCGCATGCAGCTGACTTAAAACCCTTCATTTCACTTGAACCCCACACGGTTCAAAGTTGGCCAACAATTAACTCACAGCCCCTTGTCTTTCAGGCTGCCTTAAGATCACCTAAGGGCATGAGTCAAGTGTGGTCTGTGAGGACAATCCAGTAGCCCATCTCATAAGCAGTACGGCTCAGCAAGGCTCCTGCTTTTTCACAGCTGAAAAGCTGCATGCTCTATGTTCTTCTTTTCACTTGCATAGATTTTGAATACCCAAGGCACTATTCATATATATGTATACATAGAGTCTGTCCCTGAGCAAATAATGGGAGGCTGTTACACCTTACAGGGCTGGAATTTTCAGAAAAGAGTTAAAAACAAAGGTGCTCACCTCCTTTGAGTTTCAGTCGAAGCTGAGTACCTAACTCCTGTAAGCTTGTATGGATCGCAGCCTGGTGCTTACACATGAATTTAGCAGCTTCCACATCTTACTTCAGCTTTTTTCTTTGCAGATTCTAGGCATAGGGCTTTATGCAGGAGGAATGAATTTCACCTAGACAAAATCTGGTCCTTATTTTGGTGCTATTGTTACCAGGAAACCTAGCGCAATGTTAATAGAAAACATCCTGTTTTACTGGTAGAACTGTGCAAAGTAGATGCAGACAAATGAACCATCTGACCTTTATTTATTTCCTTGCATATTAGAGGAAGTCATTTCCTGTTGTGGCAGACTGCTGAATGAAAGATGCCTGTCATGGTTCCTCTAAAAGAGGTTCTAGACATTGTTATCCCACTAAGTTATGTGTAAAGTGATCTTCATTTTTGTGAATTTATCCTTCTGGAATTCACGTAATTAAAGAATTGTTAATATAAAACAACAGCAGCAATGATAGGAATGATCAGTAAATGCTAATATTCTTCGCAAACAGTATCAGCATAATATCTGAAGCCTTTGCCTATACATTTGTCTACTGCATACTTTAAACCACATATTTACTTATATTTTATCAAGCAGTAAGTATGGAGTTCAAACATCACATTATCATTTTTTAAGATTTAATCTAGAGTCTCTATTGGAAATACATGTTCATTTACTGACAAATAGAGTATTAAGTTACTAGATAGCTACCTTCAAAAGACAGAAGCAAATCACACTTACTATACTAAACTGATATAATTATATAACATAATATTGTGAAATTCAGCTTTATTTTTCCGATTTACTATAAAAGCTTATTTCCCAGGGTCATCTGAATCATATCTTCTTTTTTTCTTGGAAAAGTCATGACTCCATTATTACAACATGGTAACGAGGCAAAAACAGTTTATATTGCATTTAAAATGTATGCATAACAATTCACTGTACTTATTTATAGTCTATTTCCCTAAAATGCTGAGCAGTCTTGTGAAATGCCAAATTCCTTCAGTTCACACAGTTGCAAGAGTTTTGTATGTATGGCAGAATTTCACTCTGAGTCACAGAAGGTTCAAGGGGGGAAATAAAGCGCTTCTACGTGCTTCCAGCAGCAACCATCTACCTTTAATCCTTTAATTGTTGGCAGACCCTCAGCTGGGCCAAGTCATGGCCAGCAGGGT